ACTTATATCAGCCTTTAAGTGAGCACCGTGACTATAAAATACTTATCACAGAGAACCCAGCACCTTCAGTGTCCAATTGTTCAGAATGAGCAAACACATAAAAAACATGGCTTACAAATATATAAGCTAGATAAGTAGCTAAGTATATGTTCTTTGGTGTTTTCCTGATTATTTCAGCTCACAAGATCACCTCTTTCCTCCTAAGTTAATTTAAAAAATCATTGGGTACAGGGGCTGGGAATGTGCTTAGTAGTAGAGTGCTTGGCTAGCATGCATGAAACCCTGGGTTCGATTCCTCAGTACCACATAAACAATAAAAGTTGGAAGTGGGTCTGTGGTTCAAGTGGTAAAGTGCTAACTGTGAGCAAAAAGAAGCTCAGATACAGGCCCAGGCCCTGAGTTCAAGGCCTAAGACCGGCAAAAAAAAAAATCATTGATTTCTGTTATCACTATGTTATTTATTACATTTTAAACACTAAAGTTTACAAATAAACCATTTGTAAATATGAACTGTTTTAATGTCTTACAATAATTTGTAAGAATTTGTGTGGAATTTCACTCATTTTCAGAAAAGAAAATAGATTTAAGGAAGTGACCTTTGGTAATTTATAGGAGGTTTTACAAAGTAGTGAGTGGAGCCAGGACTCAGTAAACTAAGGTTGACTACAATGTCTCGGTTAACTGATGATGGTGGAGACCACAATCAGGAAACCCACTTAACTTCCAGCTATTATTGCTGACTACTCTAGCCATGCAGAGGGAACGAGGAGGGCAAAGTAACAGAAAATGCAAGATTCTCAAGTTGTTTTCTTTGAACAAGAACTATCTAAGGACTATGTCATCTACAACCAATACAATGTTGCTACCATTCCCAACCTTATATGCAGGAACTGATATTGAGGTGAACTTACAAAACTTTGCCACTTTGTGGAAGTCAAGGAGTGTGATTCTTAGCCCAGTAAATTGCACGAACTCAGAACTGGGTTATTATTCTTGGACTCATTCTTTCAGCTTGGCTCATAGCACTGTGGATATTATCTTCTTAATTGCCAACTATATTCCCTTTCTCCAGTTGGAATGCCATTGGTTACCCTAGAGGATGTCAAGTGCCTTCTATTTGCCTTCCCACAATGTTTTATGCATAACCATATTGTAGGACGTATGGTTGCATTGCACTGCAATAATTAGTTTACTCCCTTCTTGTATACTGAATGAGAAATTCTTAAAAGCAATGTATTTTTATAAAAAATCCTGGGCTGGTGGTGTATCTCAGGAGTAAAGTGTGAGGCTTGTGTCAACTCCCAGCACCAAAATAAACAGAAAATCCTTTATCTATAGTGTTTACCATATAGTAAAGCTCAATGAGTGTTTGAGAAAGTCAATAACCTTGGTATTATCATTTATCCTAACAGAATGCATGCAACATCCACTGAATTAACTGAATTCCTACTATGATTTAGGCATTTGGAAAAAGGATAAGAAAGAGTTAGGCACAGGTGTTCCTGGGTACTAAGGAAACTGAGTTCTGAGGATTGCAATTCAAAGACAGGAAAGTTTGTGAGACTCTTATTCTCCCAAGTAACCACCAAAAAACCCAGAAGTGGAGCTGTGGGTCAAATGGTAGAACAGCAGCCTTGAGCAAAAAAGCTAGGAACAGCACTCAAAGTCTGAGTTCAGGGTTTATGCCACACACAAAAGATGAGAAAGAAATTGTTTCTGTTTTTGAGTTCAGATAATAACATAGTGATTAAGAATGCAAATTGTGATTTTGAGTCAATTATTTAAATATATGTTTCAGTTTCCTCATGTGCAAGATGATGCTTTTAACATAAAATTTAATCTTTACAAGAATCAGTAACATAAGCTACTAGGTAATGCAATCATACCACCACTGCTCTACCTTTTTGGTGATACTGGTCTTTGAACTTAGGGTCTGTAATTTGCTCTATTGGCATGCTACATCTTAAGCTACACCTTGTCTTTTACTGCTTATTTTGGAGATAGAGTATAGCAAGCGTTTCTGTCTGTTGAGTATCTAGAATAACCAGGCATGAGCCACTGTCTACAGTTAATTTCCTCTCTCTCTCTCTTTTTCTTTTTGCAGTCCTGGGATTTGAATCCAAGGCTTTACACTTGCTAGGCAAGATAGTACTGCTTGAGCCACATCTCTAGCTATTACAGTTTTTTGAAATGACTAAAACATTATGGTATTTGAAGCCGTCAGTCCAGTGACAGATATTGTAATAGTTGCTATTATAAATATTGGCCAAACACAGAAATTACCACAATGCAAACAGAAATTTTTAGGAGCCATTGGATGGTTTAAGTTTCATAGAAAATATAACTGTGTACCTTGAACATAAACTAGGAAAGTCTTCAACGTTAAAGCCTTAGAAATCAAGGAGTCCTACATCTGGAGTCAAAAGCTCAAATATGAGGGCTGGGAAGGTGGCTCAGTGGTTAAAGTGCTTGCCTTGCATGCCTGAGGCCCTGGGTTCAATTACTCAGCACCACATAAGCAAAAACAAAAAAGCCGGAAGTGGCACTGTGGCTCAAGTGGTAGAGCGCTAGCCTTCAGCTGAAGAGCTGAGGGACAGTGCCCAGGCCCAGAGTTCAGGCCCCA